CAACTCCGACAAACGGTGGTTAACTCTTCCTAATTTAAATCATACTGACTGAGTCCCCAGGCCAGCAGAATATGAAGGGCCTTTCCCCTTCCGTTCTAACCATCCTATCTCAGCATGGGAAAATTTCGGCCAACTGGCCCATCATTATCAACAACCTTGTGACGTAACACCAGCCACCTGGCTCCTACGCACTGGGACTGCAGCGATTGATCTCACCGCAGCCAGACGAGAAATTCATTCCCACGTACTCCATTAAACACTGTAGACGCACGTTTTTTTGTGCGACTCTTCTTCGGTGGTTCTTCGGTAAAGAAGGTATCTTTATATATAGGGCGTATTGCAGTTTTGTTTAAGGTTTAGTTTCTGAGGCCAGCTAAATCTCAAACAGTGGTTCAGGTATGTTATCCCTGTTTACTATGTTCACCAGTCTTCTATATAGAAGACTAACTACAAAGTTTCATTCAGATTGCTTCAAAACTGAGAGACTAGTTTGCGTAGAAACGGACAGACGGACAGACTGGCAGAAGCACAGACGGATATGGCTAGATCGACTCGGCTGTTGATCCTGATCAAGAATATACACTGCGCGTCATCAGATTAGCGCCCCCTGAACATTCTCGGGTAATGTCCAATATTATCCAAACTATAAAGGCTAAAGCCATAAAACTTTTTTTGGCGATACTTTTAATAAGATAAGATACATAATGATAAGTATAACAATAATATTTTATTTATTTGAAAAGAAAATGTATACCAAAAATATGAATTTAATTTAGCGTCATCAGATTAGCGCATGTAAATTGAAATTTAGTTATCTCGCGTAATTTTTGGCGTACAGTTGTGAAATTTTTTGTGCTGATTAATTGAATAATTGTTTATAAACTAAGAATCAAAATGGGTAAAGGAACTGTCCTATCTTTAGAAGAAAAATCTAAGAATGAGGCCTTCAGTGAAAGTGGCTTATCTTTACATAAAATTGCTGAAAAAATGGGAAGGCATCGAAAAACTATAGCCAGTTTTCTTTAAAATAAACAAGGCTATGGTAAAAATATGAAAGGCGGTAACAACAGAGTTCTTTCCGAAGCAGACATTCGGTCTATAGTTAGACATGCGTCTAATTCACACGACTCTTCTACCAAAATTAAAGAAAAAAGCGGTGTGGAAGCTAGCAAGTCCACGGTATTACGAGTCATAAAAAAAGCAGAACACTTGAAAAGACTCAAACTAAAAAAAAACCACAAATAAATAAGTTTCGAAAGGAAATGCGCCTAAATTTTGCTTGCTCATATATGACATGGTCGAAGGAGTGGCGCTTTGTAGTCTTTTCCGATGAAAAAAATTTAATTTGGAAGGCTATAATTATTATTTCCATGACATGCGTAAAGAAGAGCATATTTTAGATCGTTTACATGGCGTAATGGTATGGGGAGCCATATCCTATTATGGCACCTATGAGTTACAATTTCTCACCCCAAAAATGAACGCCGTGGCGTATAATAATCTTTAAAAAACGGCTTTCCCACATTTCCAAAATTGTTTTGGAAATCTTAAATGGCGTTTTCAACACGACAACGCTCCAATCCACACTGCCCGATCTGTAAAATTGTGGATACAGGGCCAAAACGTTGATGTCCTGGAGTTGTCAAGCATTAAGTGAAAATTCATTAAATTTAAGCAGGGGGAGCTAATTTTTGATATACATTTTCTTTTCAAATACATAAAATATTATTGTTATACTTTTCATTATGTACCTTATCTTATTTTGAAGAATATTATTAAAAGTATCGTCAAAAAAAGTTGTATGGCTTTAGCCTCGATAGTTTGGATAATATTGGACATTACCCGAGAATGTTCAGGGGGCGCTAACCTGATGACGCGCAGTGTATATTCTTGATCAGGATCAACAGCCGAGTCGATCTAGCCATGTCCGTCTGTCCTTCTGTCAGTCTGTCCGTCTGTCCGTTTCTACGCAAACTAGTGTGTCAGTTTTGAAGCAATCTGAATGAAACTTTGTAGTTAGTATTCTATATAGAAGACTGGCAAACATAGTAAACAGGGATAACATACCTGAACCACTGTTTAAGATTTAGCTGGCCTCAGAAAATAAACCATAAACAAAAATGCAATACGCCCTATATATACTCTCACTCGTATATATGTTCGAACGGGCCAGATTGGACGACTGCTTCATATAGCTGCCATAGGAATGATCGGACAATTTTTACAAAAAAAATTATAACATTTTCAGTTTTCAACAGAATTCGATCAAATTTGAGATATAGCCATTTTATTATACTCTACAATTTTGCGTGTTATGAACATCGGACTACTATATCATATAGCTCCCATAGGAACGATCGAGAAATTAATTCAATTAAAAATCATAATTTTTTAAGTTTTCAACAGGTTTTTATCAAATTAGAGATATAGCCATTTTATATTATTCTTCAATTTTGTGTCTACTTTAATGATTATGACGATTATATCATACAGGTGCCATACAAACGATCGTTAGATGTAGAGGAAAAAAGCAACTCTGTGAATGTAAAACTGTTAATATAATTTGTATAGGTGAATGATATGAAAGCAGGTATGTAAACATAAATACATATATATTATTTATATTGTTTGGATTCCTAGTCCTTGAAGCTCTATATGCAACGGTATATAAACTTCGGCGTGCCGAATTTAGCTTCCTTTAGCGCCTTCTTCGTTTCTATTGGCCACGCTCTCGCTCTTGCTGTGCCGCTGAATCTCTTATCTTGATCCTCTTATCCACCTTTTTCTTTATACCCTTGCAGATTGCAATTCCATTACTAGGACCTATCATAATATAAATTAGATACATTTATGTAAAAAACACTCGTTACATTCACCTATACATATTATATTAACAATCTTACAATTACAGTTTAACATTCACAGTTTGGCATTTTTATATCTAACTACCCTTTGTATGGCAGCTATGTATATTATCATATACAAGTCTTATAAAATTAAATACGAAATACTAAAATAATACTAAATGGCTATGGAAAAGTGAAACTTTTCTTTTCTATATCTGATATATAGAAGAACAACTGTAAATCTTCACTCAGATAGCTTTAAAACTGAGAGACTAATTTGCATAGAATCACACAGCCAAACGGGCTAAATCGACTCGGCTTAATAATATACATACATATGTATGTATAAACTCTATGTGGTCATTCACTGCTTTGCAAACTTCTGACTGAAAGTATAATACCCTGAAAGGGTATAACGAAAACTGTTGTGACAAGCGTAACAATGTAACTTAGAACTTTTAAAACTATTTTTTGGGGGAAATTTAAGTACAATTTTTTTATAAGAATACATGAAAGTCAATTTATTGATTAAGAAAAATGAAACATGTATGTATGTTGCTTCACAGTGTATAACATCAACCGTATTTGACGAAAAAATAAGTGTTTGATATTTCATTGTGTTGTACCACTAAGCAAGAAACACATAGAGATGTCAAACAGTACCAAAAAGTACTATCACAAAAACGGCTGAGCCTGGAACCCCAGAGCACCCGAACGATATGTCTAGAACCCCAGAAAGCCTTCGGCTTTTTCGAGTTCGAAGCAGTCGTTCGAAACCGAGCACAACAAGAATTCACTTTTCAGTGGCAGATCGACCGTGGAAGGATGAGCAAGGGTGCGTTTCTTTGCGCTGTGCTCTCGTTTCTTTGTATATGTGTATATGTGTACAAGCGCTCACACGTTTGTATGCGTGTTCAAATTTCAGCATGCAGAGTCTTTTTCAAAGATTTTGGACGACCACAGCCAGTAGGCCGAAGCGGCGGCTCACTTGCTTTTGACGTCACAGCAATACTTAGCGGCTAGCGCTTGCATTGGGGGACAAATTATTTAAGTTATTTTACTATAATTACTACTTATTTTAATTTAAGTTTCTTTTCTGACTATATTTTCCAAAAGGCATTTTGTTGATGAATCATCGATGAATTGTTCATGAATTTGTTGATGAATCATCGATGAATTGTTAATGCATTTTTATTTAAGTATTTATTTATTTAATTTAATTTTTTTTCATTTGCTAAGCAACAACAAAAAAAAGCGCGCCCAAATATGCATACATCTGTACATACATACATACATAGATATTGACATATGTATGTAAGCATAATCAAAACAAATCAAAGAATCTTAAAAAATCAAAACAAAACAAAAAGTGACACGCGCAAATCACTTGCATAGACAACAATAACATACCCTGCAGTACCTGTCATCAGTAATTCATCAACAGTCAAGTGTGCTGTTGATGATTCATCGATGACAGGCCATACAAACTGTTGATGAATTTAACATGGGCATGTCATAGGCTGTCATCAATAAAAATGCATTACCAATTCATCGATGATTCATCAACAATTCATCGATCATTCATCAACAATTCATCGATCATTCATCAACAATTCATCGATGATTCATCAACAATTCATTAACAAATTCATGAACAATTCATCGATGATTCATTAACAAAATGCCTTTTGGGAAATATAGTCAGAAAAGAAACTTAAATTAAAATAAGTAGTAATTATAGTAAAATAACTTAAATAATTTGTCCCCCAATGCAAGCGCTAGCTGTGGTCGTCCAAAATCTTTGAAAAAGACTCTGCATGCTGAAATTTGAACACGCATACAAACGTGTGAGCGCTTGTACACATATACACATATACACAGAAACGAGAGCACAGCGCAAAGAAACGCACCCCTGCTCATCCTTCCACGGTCGATCTGCCACTGAAAAGTGAATTCTTGTTGTGCTCGGTTTCGAACGACTGCTTCGAACTCGAAAAAGCCGAAGGCTTTCTGGGGTTCTAGACATATCGTTCGGGTGCTCTGGGGTTCCAGGCTCAGCCGTTATTGTGATAGTACTTTTTGGTACTGTTTGACATCTCTATGTGTTTCTTGCTTAGTGGTTGTACGCTGAGGTGAGTGTTTGTGAATACTTACATATAGTACAATGCAGCATTGAATAAAATCGTCAAAAAGAATTGTTCCACGACCAAAACGATCAAATTTTCGGAGTAAAACATCTATAAGGTTGTCGGTTAGGCGATAACCAAATGAAGTCAAAGCTGTTTTCAGCTCATTTTTGTCTATGTTTCCAGAATTGTCACGGTCGAAAGATCGAAAACAATTTTGCCAATCTGTCACGTATTTCCACAACGCTCCAAAATCTTGAAAGGACACAGTTCCGGCGTTTTCTCGATCAAACATTCCAATCATCAACCTGATAGTTTCTGGATTAAAAGCAGACCAAGTACCATTAGAAAGAGCCACTTGTAGCTCATCGGCAGAGATATGGCCACTCCTGTCTTTGTCAACTCTAATTAAAACAAAAATATATCATATGTCTTAGAAAAAAAAAACTAACAAATAAGCGCTTACCTTTGAAACACATCCCAAAGAAATTGTTGATTTGGCACCCCGTCTCTATCGTATGACATTTATAACGGACATAAACTTGCTAGTGGTGTCTCCAATACAGATTGAAAACTTCTGACTCATTATTATTTATTATTATTTTTTTTCGATAAAAAAAATATACGAATTTGGAAAGTAATAGCGAATTTCCACTGCGGACAGCATCAAGTGAAAATTATTATTATTATTTGCGTAATTAAAACTTTACCTTGTCACTAAACAGTCTATTAACACTGCCTCGCTTTGTAGAATTTCGGGAACTGTATTATGCAAATCGAATGAGTATATTATAAGGATGTCATGGAAACGATGGGTAAAAGTATAACTGTAACTGTAAAACTGTAAAGAAATGTAATAAAACGCATAGGTTAATGTAGAAAAAGTTTTTAATAATTCTTTATTTTTAACAATATATAATTGTTATAACTTTATTTTTTTTTGTATTTATTTTATATATATTATTATGGGGATACCTTCTCCGATAGGGCTGTCAAATATTTAAAAAATGTATCGATATTATTTTTATGACAATATATATAACATCAATTAAAAAAATATATAGATATATTGAATAGTTTTAATTCAATTTATTTTGTTCCTCCAATATATGAATACAATAAGTTTCTAATAGTTAAATAACAATAAAATATGTTAAAATTTCAATATTTATATACATCATTTCTCACCTACTTTACATTTCTTACATACAGACATTAAAAATTCCAAAAACACCCCCACTTAAAGCCCCCACTTGAGCAAACAAAAAATTACGATATAAGTATATATTATTATAAGAAAATATATAGATACATTGAAATATCCATATTAATTGAATGAATTACTGAAAATATCGGCAACCTAAAAAAAAAATGCTCATCCTATGTTATTAGGCATTTAGCGTATCTGATGTCTCTGAAATTACAAACTAAATTGTTGCATTTCGGGTGGGAACGGACTGAAGGACTATCGATGTATCGATAGGGACAGGTAGAATTGTTATGACCAGGAGGAGGCGAGTAAAATGAGCGAACCGGGAAGTTCAAAAGCGGCCTAAGAGAAAGGGTTCTTGCCCTTTCTCTCGGCACAGGCAATGAGGGAATGAAAAAGTAACGGCTGGAGCTCTGGAACAGAGGGCAGGAACCTGGTCTATAAATGGAGGTGCTAATGAAATAAAACCGGGGAGTGAAATTCTAGATGAAAACGTGTGCGAATGGATTTTGGTGAAAAAAGTCGGGAAGAACGAACGTGACCACGAGGAATTAAGGTGGACGACGTGACCGATAGCCGCCCAGTGCCGCCGCCTCAGAGCCACCTCCATTACATAGCCAAGAGCCGTCGCTTCAGTGCCGCCGCTTCATTTCCTTCGCCTCAGTGCCACCGCCTCGCGCAGCGCCACTTGAGCCGTAGCCGGAGCCATAACTAGAGCAACCTCAGCCGTAACCAGAGCCACCGTATGGCGCCTTGCCGCCGCCCCTAGCCGCCGAAGCGCCGCCAGAGCCGCCTCAACACCACCTAAGCCGTAGCGCAGTAGCCAGAGACGCATTGCATTCGCCGAGGCCGTGACCAGAGCCGTCGCAGAAGACTAGAGCGCCGCCAGCTAATCTGGCGGATACATTCGTTCGTTACCCGTGTCCTCCGCTTGACCGTATCCTGGGTCCGGTATTGGTGCAACACGAGCGCTGTAATCAAAGGGGAACGGAGTAGAAGCCGGTCGTTTTTCTTTCTTTGCTTTTTTGTTGCAAACACCCATACCCCGGCGGTGCCCTGGACACCCTGAGCTAGCCCGGAGTTGCCCAAGGAAAGGCACTTCCGTTACAATATGGCGCCCAAACTAAAAAACAAATAAAAGAATAGCGGGATGACGACGTCTCGAAAGGCCACGTCCTGGGTTATCCAGCCCTCGCATTCGGTGGCTTGCGAGGCCTATGTTACGGTCTGCAACTGCACCGAGGACCGGGGACTGGTAACCAAGGCGTAGGATATTTGTTGCTTTTATTTTTAATTAGTTTTCCCAGTCAGGACGGGAGGCTTGGTCCGCAGGGGTGCTGCGGTGGCAGGGTGGTGGCTTTCGGGTGTGGGAACGACGGATTCGCATCCCTTAGCCACAGACCGTGCATAAAGTACGAGTCAAGAACCACTGTGATATATAGTAGATAGGGAAACAAGTGTTTATTTATATTAACGTAAAGTTTGGTTGTTTTCAATGTAAATGTTAATGTTAGAGTAAATGTTGTGCAGATCCTTGTGTTTTCCTGGTGGATGAGTCTTCCTGGGATCAGTTTGTTGGTGAAGTCGCGACCCGCAGGTCTCACTGCGCGCTACGCGACCACCGTAATCTGAGCCTTGAAGTCCCAGGCATCAAGGAAAATCCTACGGGATACTGCTGAAAGCCTATGTCCTTAACTGGCGACTTTCAGCACCGCTGAAAGTTAGCCCAGTTGACGAGCGGCCGGAGTCAAAACCACTGGGACGAATTGATGACGCGGGAATCTGGCACGGAGCCACCGGCGGTTGATCGGCTCCATCTCCCCTGAAATTTAGAAACGAAAAGAAAAGTTAGTGCATTTTTTGGGTAGCATATGCAGGTAGAAGAAGATTTATTTATCTATTTATTCGTATATTTATTTCTCCATTTATTTATTTATTTATTGAGTTATTTATTTACATATTTGTTTCATGTGCATTTATTTATGTCGCATATGCTTACATATTTATTTATTTTGTGAATAAAGTCGTTAGCAGTTAGGAATTAAAGAATTGGATTATGGACAGGGATAGGGGAAATAATTACCAGCTCAGGTCGAAGGGTCCTTCTGCCCAGGAAGAGGAGTTGTGGTCCGCAGATGGGGAGGGTGCTGTCGGGCACGCCCCGCCGCGGACCTCCATGGGGTTGCCGAGGACACCCCCTTCACGGCGGCAAGACCAACAGCTGGAGGAGACGGAAGAGCAAACAAAGACTAAATTGCTAGACTTCGAGGCGATCGGGGCCACAGCTGACCATCTGATGGAAATGGTTGCCGCTCAGCGGGCAGTACAGGAAAACAACAGCGCCCACAGCAGCCACCACCTCCGTTTGGACGAGCGATGGAGTCCGTGCACGACGCCCGCGGAGCGGTACCCAGGCATGGGCAGACGTCCGCCCGTTATGCAACGAGTCCTACGCCCCGAAGCCGCCTAAGAGGGCTCCAGATCCAGCCGAAATCTACTCATTCAGCCCCGACGGTTCCACCGAGGCTGAGGAGACGCGTCGGGATGACAGCGTGGGTCGGAACTGGCGTGTCGAGGACCGCTGCGCCGGCGAATTCCGTGACGAACGGACGTACGTCAACTGGGATGCAGGAGTCAGTTCCCAGATCACAAGGGTGGATAGGTGGAACGTCTCGTTCAGCGGTGAGGGCGAGCGGAACCACATCGAAGGCTTCCTGTTTCGCTTGGAGTACCTCCAGAGGCAATCGCGTTGCTCGTGGGCCGAGGTGATGAGAAACTTCCACACGCTGCTAACGGGTAGGGCCCTGGAGTGGTTTTCGATCCACGTGCAGCAGCACCGACTGGACAGCTGGTATCAGCTACGCCGAGCGCTGCTAGATTGGTTCCAGAGTCACGAGACGGAGCATCAGCGGATGCATCAGCTACTGCAGCGGGAGCAGCAACCAGGGGAGAGCGTAGATGATTACCTGCATGCAATGCAAACCCTTGCTTCTCGCCTGAGGAAGCCGATGCCAGAGCGACACCTGGTCAAGGTGATGAAAAAGGGGTTAAGAGAAGGGATCGCTCGCTTCATGTATGCGAGGGAGCTACTCACTGTGGATGAGCTGCGGCAGGAGAGCCTCGAGGTGGAGCGTACCTTCGGACGCAGAGCTCGGGCCCAATTCCCACCACCAATGCACTACCAAGGAGCGGAACGGAACCAAGTCAGTGAGGCGTTTGCTCCAGAGCCAGAAGAGGATTAAGACGAGCAACCACTGCAAGTGCAGGAAGTCCGTGAGCGGCCTCGAAATCTTTTCCGGGCTGGCTGCTGGAATTGTGGATCCATGGACCACGGTTTTCGGGATTGTGGGCAGGAGCTGAAAAAGGTTTTTTGTTTCCGTTGCGGAAAGGTCGACACCGTCGCTCCGAAGTGCGCGAATTGTATGGAAAACGAACGGCGGGGCGATCCCAGAGCGGAAGGGGCTCGCCCAACGCGGAATTCCGTGCAGTAGGAGACCCTAATGTTCACGTCAGAAGGCCCTTCGCGGCGGCCGCGGCGCCGCCTCTGTCCACCGAGCCTCCAAAGCCTTGGCCGCTCTTGCACTCCCGCAAGTCGGCTCTTCGCGCACGCCTCATCGAGCTAGTATAAGCGCTCCCGCGCCCACTCTTCGATGTTCGCGAACGCCCGCTCCCGAGTTCCCGAGCTTCGCTCGCTGCTAAGCGAGCTGAGGGACGGCTAGTTCGCGCTCCACTTCTCTGGCCCGCTCTCGCTATGTTAAGCGTAGCTTATCGGTCGGGAGCGCGGCCCTTACATTTAAGCTATTTAGTCTTATGTATGCAGCGCAATAAAGCTGACCATTTGATTTGCCCACGACGCCCCCGTCTTTTACTTTTCACCTTCGCTTGTGACGTGGGAATTTCCATTGGGCTACATTTGACAAGACAGGATCTTCAGCGGCAGGATCGCCCCCCTACAAGCATGGTCCTTCGAGCCGGATGAGGATATCCTTCCGTCCCTTCACCAGCAGTTCCCGGTGATTTTTCCGCTGAGATAAGTATATGCCGGTCTTAGACAGTGGGCCGAACATTTAATTTCGGTCGCACCGCTGCAAAATTTATTGTTTTTCGTTCGTGTCAACTCCCCGTCCGAGTTTTCCTGACACCACGGTAGTGAGAAATTCCACTTTTCTATTCGCCTCCGAACTTCGTAATTTTCCATCCGTGTCCGTTTTGTGTGCGCCGCCATCCTCCTCGCCGTCTCTTCGATTCCCCGTTGTTCATCCACTTGCCAACGGTCGAGGCCAATGTGCAGCCACATACACACACACGCATTCTAAACTTGTGCTAATATTTCCGTGCAAAAAAAGTTCTCCGTGAACAGTGAAATTG